AGGAAGTACTCAACCGATTTCAATGAAATTCGGTACATACTATTTTCTTAACACGTTGATGACATGTACCAAATATGGGTGAAATCGGTTCACACAACCACGCCTGAAATCTCGATTATAACTTTATCATGCGAGAGTATAAAATGTTCGGTGACACCCGAACTTAGCTCTTCCTTACTTGTTTTTTATTTAGAAGTATATACATTGTAACAAAAAAGTACCCGAAAATTGTAATTTGAATACACCAGGTAAATACTATTTTAAAAATATATTTTGCTTAGTTGGTAGGACTGTCCATAATTCTATGAAAAATATTAGCCCGATCTGTCATCCAGAAGCTGCTTTACATCTGTATTGCGTTACGACTTTTACAATGGATAAAAGTTTTGAACAAAAAATGTGTCCCCAATTTTGTATTTTATTGAAAAAGTTAAGGATATGGTGCTTGAAAAATGTCAGTCAAGTATTAGAGAGATGACATGAAAGCTTGGCATCTCTCGTGAGTCTATTCGAATTCGGATACCACGTTCATGCATAATCCTCCAGATATATTCAAAGCTTTAGGAAAGTTCTTTTAATTACCATTCTTTTGGTTTTGACATTGTGTGAATTCCTTGCAAAAATATGGTAACTTGAGAAATTGTTTCTTTCTATCTAGTAAAGTATATATGTATGTACATCAACTTCTTGGTCTCTGAGGGATAGAAAAAGGTTAGCTCGAAGAGAACTTCCCAGGCATTTTAGGAAGAAATTAGTGAGTTCAACATCAAATCTCAATAATTATTGTTAATTATTAATTAAAGAAATTAGCATGAATTAGAAGTGGAAATATATTTTTGTTAAATCTTACCTAAAAGCCAAGCTAATTAAAATGTATTTAAATACGATTGGATTTCCACGCTGTTTATATTTGTCCGTGTTTAAAGAGATAACCAGAATTGATATTCATAGGTAAATATTTTCATGTACAATATATACATACATACATATACATCTGTGTGCCTATGGATATGTACTTAAATACAGAAATGGAAATACAAACTGTTTGTGAAGCACTCGTGGGTCGCATTCAAATGTGTTTCAATATGTTTTAAGCACACAGAAATATACAGTATGTACATATGGTAGCACAGTCGTACCCTGCGAGAAATGTGAAAACTGTTTTTACTAAAATCACTGTAGACCTAGGTTAGGTTAAATGGCGATCTAGAAAGATCACATGCTAATTGCTGTATGTAGCCCCTTGTGAAGCCATAGAAAAGAAGAACTCTTGTGTTCAAACTTAAAAAATTGACGCTTTGTGCTCAACACAAATTAGCATAGGCGTCAGTTCGGTGGGATGTCTGAAGGTATGCGGCACTACGTGTTTAGGTCTTGACCTACCAAACGCCGGACAGTCAAGAAGGAAGTGTTGAGCAGAGTTCACCGCGTATTCTCCACACAGCTTCTGCAGATGGTGTCTGGCAAGATTACCAGCCTTCCAGTATGGACATTAATAGAGCAATGATCTATTAAAACTCTCACAACTAGGGAGAGGTTAGCTTTACAGAAGGTATGGTTGTAGTGGATCCCAGTGACCTAACCCCTTAGAGATCTAACGAAGCACATAAATTTAAGCAAGCAGCCTTCCGTTTTACTTTTCCTATAGGGCCTTGTTTCAAACTGTTGACCGCATGCGTTTTAAGTGCACTAGTCTGGAAATGCACATTTAAATTGCAATTAAAGCATTTCACTTTCAATATGGCAAGTTTTCCTCTGCTCATGACGATTTGCATTAACCCATTATGAATTTTCCGTTTTTATGAAAATTAAGTTTGCGCATTATAAATACATATACATATATGTACTTGCGTGTGTGCTTACTTAAAGGCATACATACATATTTATTCGGCCTATTGGTCACTCTTAATGAGTTTATTTGAGCATAAAACAACTACGGGCCAATAGAGTTATATAAATAAATGGCAAATAATATACCTACTTAATTTATAAATACAAATATACGTGACTCTGTGCTTACACTAACAAATAAAGTTGGATAAACTGTGCAGGGTAATTGAAAACGAGCAATAAGAATAAGCGCAAATACAAAAACTAAATGGAGTATCGGGAGTGTATTTTGGTGCAATTCCGAAAACTCTTAATACGAGTAACGTATGTGTAATCTTTGAATAAAGCATACTTCACTCTATTATGGAACTATTTAAAAAAAAATCTTCCACAGTATTGCCAAATATGTAAATCAAAATATATTATGCAAAAGGCAAAAATATCCAAAAGTTATCCCGATGGAAAGGTTTCAGCGCCGTTAGTTCTGCTTTCTCCAGAATGGATAAAAAACCGAAGCAAATTGATGAACGAAGAAACGGTCGTCATACTCGCGACAGGGCACCCATGTCATTTATTGTTCTTTGCGCATTGGCAACGGAGAATATCCCATTACCATGGAACGATGAGCTGTATGAGATATATGTACGACGCCATTGACATAGTTTAGCGAATCGTATAACAGCGGCTGTACTGCCTAGGTTGTCGGGATAGAAGAGAATACTCCAGCTTTGAAGGCTTTCAATACACTACCCGCCAGGGGAAGCAGAGGAAGCGGAAGACCTTAAACCCGTTTGAGAGATTAGGCGGAGAAAGACCTAGCCGCCCGTGGTATTGCGAATTGGCGACAAATTGCGAATAGAAGAAACGACTGGTGCGCTGTTGAAAACTTGGTTATTTGAATTTTTCACATAAATTTTTAGGTTACGTGAATGAGGATAAGTGTAAGATATTTTCATTACCTACAACTTTGCCATACTCGAAAATTTGACAGAAAAAGTTCAAATCGCATTAACCGTTGGTTACCCTCAAAAAGGCCTCTGACCTTCTTCTTCTTGACCTCAGATCGCCCGTAAACT